GAGCCGAGGAGCGCTCCCTTCCTGGGCGCCCCACTCTCAGCCCCCGCTCTCTAGCCGTCCAGCATCTTCCCTCCTGGGTCGGGGTCCCTGAAAGGCGGGCGCCCGGTTCCCCTTGCACCCGCCCAGAGATGCTCTACAGATGGGAGCGGCGCCCCCGTGCCCCGCTCCCGGGCCCTCGCCGGCGCCTGCACGTCCCTGCAGCCAGCCTGCAGCCAGCGGGGCGGGGGACTCAGAGCTGTGGCCTTGCTCGGCCCACCCTGCGGCCCTATCCTGCCCCCCTCCTTCCTTCCCATCAGCCGGGCTCCAAACCCCGGGGCAGGAAGGAGCCTCCTCCCAGCTGGAGGGCCTGCATGATAACTCGGCTTCCTCTGCCTTGGGCCCTGTGTCCCCTGCTCCGCACACATACCTGAGCCAGGGAGAGGCAGCAGGGTCTGCAAAGCCCCTCGGGGCTGGGCCAGGGCCAAGGGTCAGTGTGGTTCCCCTGCAGATGCCGTTCGTCCACCCCTGCGACCCTTCTGTATCCGGGGACACCGAGACCCACGTCCGCACTTGCTTTAGGTAGCCCGCGGAGGGCTGCGGGTTGTTGGGCCAGGCCGCTCACCTCGCCTTCCACCCTGCAGACATGTCCTTCCGCAAAGTGGTTCGGCAGAGCAAGTTCCGGCACGTGTTCGGCCAGCCAGTCAAAAATGACCAGTGCTACGAGGACATCCGAGTGTCCCGCGTCACCTGGGACAGCACCTTCTGCGCCGTCAACCCCAAGTTCCTGGCAGTGATTGTGGAGGCCAGTGGTGGGGGTGCCTTCCTGGTGCTCCCTCTGGGCAAGGTGGGTGCCCACCTCAGGCACACCTGCCAGACCCTCTCCACCTCACACGTCACATCTCCCTCTCCCTAGCCCTACACTACCCACTCACCACCCACTGCCATCGTGTGGAGTCTAACTCAGTGACGTTATAGGACAGGGTAGAACTGCCCTGTAGGGTTTCCGAGGCTGTCAGTCGTTACAGAAGCAGACTGCCCCATCTTTCTCCTGTGGTGCCGCTGGTGGGTTTGAACCACCAATCTTTTAGTTAGCAGCTGAATGCTTTTAACCGCTGCCCGGCTAGAGCTCCTTCCACACCACCCAGCAGGGTCATAATCAGATATATTGCTTGGGAGGTGTTGGCTGAGATAAAGAAAGTGTTTTATTGCCACAGAGTTTTATTTTATGGCACAGGCAACAAACAGCTTCCTGCTCATCTGGCAGGCGGGTGGGGCAGTCAGTCACGGCAGTCCTCGAGGTGGCCACTTGTGGGCAGGCCCAGCAGGTCATCCCCACTCCACCATGGAGGGACAAAGCCCGGGAGCCCTGGGTCCTCCATGACTGTCCCCCCAATGCCTGCAGACGGGCCGCATTGACAAGGCCTACCCGACAGTATGTGGCCACACGGGCCCCGTCCTGGACATCGACTGGTGTCCCCACAATGATGAGGTCATCGCCAGTGGCTCGGAGGACTGCACCGTCATGGTGAGGCTCGCTCGGGGCTGGTGGCGTGGGCAGCAGGGATGAGGCCGCGGCAGGCGGAGGGGTCAGCCCGAGTACCTCCCTTTCTCCCAGGTCTGGCAGATCCCTGAAAACGGGCTGGTCTCACCTCTGACGGAGCCGGTGGTGGTGCTGGAAGGGCACACCAAGCGAGTGGGCATCATCAGCTGGCACCCAACGGCCCGCAACGTGCTGCTCAGCGCAGGTTGCAGCCCCGCCCCTGCGTGCGCATAGGAGGCTTGCGTCTTCCCTTTGCCCTCCCAGGCTGTCCAATAGGTGGACGCACTGGGTCGCACAGACGTTGAGGGGCGGGGCCCGGTGTAGGAGGGCAGGCCAGGCTGACGGCCCCCGTCTGCCCACCAGGCTGTGACAATGTGGTGCTCATCTGGAATGTGGGTACGGCCGAGGAGCTGTACCGCCTGGACTCCCAGCACCCGGACCTCATCTACAACGTCTGCTGGAGTCGAAATGGCAGCCTCTTCTGCTCCGCCTGCAAGGACAAGAGCGTGCGCATCATTGACCCCCGCCGGGGCACTCTGGTGGCGGTACGTGGCCCCGGGGGGTGTGCATGGCCGTGGCCAGGCCCCAGGGCCTGACAGGGTGCTGCACTGACCACCTGCCCCTTGCCCAGGAGCGAGAGAAGGCTCACGAGGGCGCCCGGCCCATGCGGGCCATCTTCTTGGCAGACGGCAAGGTGTTTACCACGGGCTTCAGCCGCATGAGTGAGCGACAGTTGGCACTCTGGGACCCGGTGAGTGGTGGTGGCAGGCCCGAGGGGCATATTGTGCCTGGGCCCGCACCCACCCCCCAAGAGCTGCACTTGTCCTCAGCCTGGCACACAGGCCCTCAGGAGCCCCGTTCTCTGACCCTGCCTGTCTGATTTTTTCCTATTGTCTCCACTACCTCTGTGTCGTTGCCTGTTGTTCCCTAGCTTGCTTGTAATCATTCTTCATGGCCCAGTACAGGCCCTCTCCTCCAGGAAGCCTTCCCAACTTCTCCCCTGAAGTGCTGTGTCCCACAGTTCTGTGCTTCTGCACTGTGGCCTCTGGGGGCCCCTGAGGTGGGAGCTGGTGCTGCCTGGCATCCCCTGGCTCAGTGGCCGGCAGTAGCCTATAAGGTTGGAAGCAGGCAGGTGCAAGTGGCCCTGATGTGGACAGGAGCTGGGAGGGCCTGGCCCTGATGTGGACAGGAGCTGGGAGGGCCTGGCAGGGCACGGGTCAGGCACCCCACCCTGACTGTGGGATCCTGGCCTGACTTCCTCTCTGACATGCCAGGGGAACCTGGAGGAGCCCATGGCCCTGCAAGAGCTGGACTCAAGCAACGGGGCCCTGCTGCCGTTCTACGACCCTGACACCAGTGTGGTCTATGTCTGTGGCAAGGTGGGGCTGGGCTGGGCTGGGCATGGCGGGGGGTGGGCTGCGCGTGGCGGGGGGGGGGCAGGAAAAGAGCCTGCTTGTGTGCTCACGTACCCCCCCCTCTGCTCTAGGGTGACTCCAGCATCCGGTACTTTGAGATCACAGATGAGCCCCCTTACATCCACTTCCTGAACACGTTCACCAGCAAAGAGCCCCAGAGAGGGATGGGCAGCATGCCTAAGAGGGGCCTGGAGGTCAGCAAGTGTGAGATCGCCCGGTAAGAGGGGTGCTGGACAGTGGAATACTATGCAGCACTAAAGAGTAATGCAGAACCTGCAAAACACTGTATAACAGGCATGAACTTAGAGGACATTATGATGAGTGAAATAAGTCAATCATAGGACAAATACTGTATTAGTTCCTTACTGTAAAAAGTCAAGGAAAGGTTTCTATGTGGAAGGAAACTTTGTTGTTGATTCTGGGCAGGGAGAAGTGAACACTGCAAAAATTTAAAAAAAAATAAAAGAGGGGTGCTGGGCAGCCTGGTGGCTGGGTGAGGGGCTGAGAGCAGGAACAGCCCTCAGGAGGGGCCAGGGCAGGAGGCAGACCCTGGGAGCCCAGAATGGGGATACAGCCTGAGGGCGGGGCCTGGGCGTCAGGGGTCAGTCTGTGGGAGGGACTGGTAGAGGGAGTCAGGAGAGCTGAAGGGGCTGCCCCTCTGGTCCTCTCCTTTCTCCAGGTTCTATAAACTGCATGAACGCAAGTGTGAGCCTGTTGTCATGACTGTGCCAAGAAAGGTGAGGTCACCTTTGCCCCTCCCATAGTAGTGGGTCCACAGAAATGCCTGAGCCAGGCCTGTGAGTGGGAGGTGTGGCCAGTGGGCTGGACAGATGCCAGCATGCCCTGCACCCAGGCCAGTGTGTGTGCCAGCTTGCAGGTCAGCAGGGAAGGGACGAGGGGTGAGCCAGGGGCCCTGCCCTGGGGGAGCTGCAGGAGAGGGGACAGTTGCAGAGATCACAGCAGTCATGGAGGGCTTCTTGTAGGAGGCAGGGCCATCCAATGGGATTGGGAATGGAAAAAGGGACGGTGAGGGATACTTCTGGCTAGAGGAGAGTCTCACGGGGGGAGCAGGTCACAGGTGACCTAGGGATGTTTACTGAGGGCCCCTGTCAGTGTGCCAGGCACCTTCTCAGCAAGCAGAGCCGGGAGCCAGGCCAGCGAGGCCTGCCCCAAGAGCTCCCTGTCTGTGGGCACACGCATGGCTTCCCCAAAGCACTGGAGCTGGCCCTGCAGCCTACAAGGGGGTGTGTCACAGGGTCAGCTCCGGGAGTCTGTGGAAGGCTTGGGGGAGCTTTGTTGACATTCAGATGGGAAGTGAAAGGACAGTTTGAGCTTTTGAAAGGTCACATGGGCTGGGCCATTGGAGACGGGGAGGCAGGGTCCAAGCATGGAGGTTAGAAGACTGGCAACATCAGTCCCAATGAGATGAGACCTTAGCTGGGACAGGGGCTATAGGACCAGGGGCAGTGGCAGCTGGGGAAGGCATCCGGCCTTGGGGACTGTAATGAGATGGGAGGCATGAGGCTCAGTGGTCAGCTTCCCTCGCCGCCTGCCCGAGAGCAGCTCAGGAGAGGTCAGGGCTGGAGGGGAGGGCAGACCACTGTAGCCAGCACAGTGACAGGGACAGCTGCCCCTTCTGGGGTGGCCAGGCCATGGTGACAGGTGAGTGATGGCCATCAGCGAGAGGACATGGCTCTCTCCCTGAGGTTCTTGCCTACTCCGCTGATCCTGCCCACCCCCCGCACAGTCGGACCTCTTCCAGGACGACCTGTACCCCGACACGGCTGGGCCTGAGGCGGCCCTGGAGGCAGAGGAGTGGGTGAGCGGGCGCAATGCCGATCCCATCCTCATCTCTCTGCGCGAGGCCTACGTGCCCAGCAAACAGCGGGACCTGAAGGTCAGCCGGCGAAACGTGCTCTCGGACAGCCGGCCCACTGCCACCCCCACCCGCCCAGGGGCCCCTGCAGCTGCGGCCACTACTGGTGTGACCACTGCCAGCGGCAGCCTCGCTGGAGCAGGGGTATGTGCCTGTGGTCGGGCGGGGATGGTGGACGGGCCTCGGGTGTCATGTGGTTGCGGGTCATCGGTCGCCCTCTCTGGGCTCGCGGTTTGGGGAGAGCCGGCCCCTGACCCGCCGGCCCTGCAGGAGGCCAGGAAGCTGGAGGAGGTGACGCAGGAGCTGCAGATGCTGCGGGCACTGGTCAAGGAGCAGGGCGAGCGCATCAGCCGCCTGGAGGAGCAGCTCGGCCGCCTGGAGAATGGAGACGTCTAGGCCTCTGCCCCAAGGGCTGCCGCCACCTCCTCCACCGCCCCATTCTTGCTCAGCTGCTGCTGGCTGGTCACAGGGACCCCCCGGCTGCCAGGGCCCCTGGGGCGGGTTCAGGGGTCGACCCCCGGCCCAGCCCATCCTGTGGCCCGGCTGCAGCTCCTGCCTGGGTCTGGTCATGCATCGTTACTGTGGAGGATTTTGTTCCAAGCAGGCTCGCTTGTGCTCAGAGAGACCATCTCCCTGCCCCGTCCAGCCCCCTGCCCTTCTCTAAAGGAAGTGGGAGGGATGGGCTCTATATTTTCATTCCAAATAAAATTCTCTTTCTAAAAGCCAGGTTTGACCTTCTGTTGCAAGAGTAGGGGTGGGGAAGGAAGCTTGGAGACGTGGGGGCAGTGAGGCTCACAGGATTCCCACATGGAGGGAGGGTGGGACCAGGCCATGACTTCCCAGACCCCTGCCAGGCAGGGAGGCTGAGGCAGGAGACCTGCGCACGCCTCCAAGGCCATGCCCTGCTCTTGGCAGGGTGCCCAGTTCCTCCCTCTGGAGGCCTGGCCACAGGCCCCGTGGCCCCAGCTTCATCCCGGGTGTGACCTGTGGGAGCATGTGCACTGGGATGGGTCTGTCAGGCCCGAGACCCCCATCGGGGTCCTGTGGCAGGGAGGGCGGGGCGGGGCATTCTGGGCAGGAAGCGGAAGTGTCGGGGCACCCCCAGCAGTGGGGAGCACGAGAGCTCACTTCTCGCCCAGCACAGCCAGGGCTGGAGGCGTACGCCTGGTGGGAGACAGCTGGCCCATGGTGAGTGTGGGAGCCCTCTGGGTTCCTGGGATTCGAGCTGGACCGACCGGCTGGGCCCCAGGGAGCAGAGGAAGGTGCCCTGTGTGGGCCCAGAAGCAGAAGCGGGGGGGGCGGGCAGCATCGAGGTACCCAGGAGAGTGAAGAGGGGGGCGGTTAGAAGCCAGGCCTTGCCTTTCCCTCCCCTCCCGGCTGCACCCCATGGGACTCTGTGTAGCCCTGCTCCAGGTCCTGAGATGGATGGACCTCCTCACTCCTCCCCTTGGGAGCTGGACTTGGGGACAGTCCCAGCTTCTATCACCGGAGTCAGGGTACACAGGGCCAGGGTGGGGGAAGGTGCAGTCAGCACCCCTCCCCACATCACCCCCACCTGCCTTGTTCCAACCGCAGGCTTCCTCTGGCAGCTGTGTTCGCCCCCACTCCTCGGTCCTTCACGCTGAGGCCCTGGGGACGTGCAGCTGAACGGAAACGCTGCAGCTGGGGCGGCCCTGTGGCTGGGAGGGAAGAGGGGCCTTGGGGACCCCCATCCTGGGACCTGGCCAAGTGCAGGTGGGACGTTTCCTCCAGCCAGGGTCTCAGGAAACACCCCCAACATTGGCCTGGGGACGCCTTCCCTCCCCTCCGAGCCCACCCCCAGGCAGGCAGTCTGAGCACCTGCTAGGCGCCAGGTGTGGGTATAGGTGCTCAGTGTAAAAGACCCCAAACCCCTGCAAGGGTCTCCGTTCCACATCCTGAGAGGGGAGACGAGACATGAAACAGCAGTGGGTGGAGAGGATGACCAAGGGGTTTGCGGTGCCAGGGGACAAAGGTCAGCACGCTGGCAGGGCTGACAGCAGGGGGTGGGCTGTGCTATGAGAGCAGGCCAGTAAGGGAGATCAGGAGAGGCCTGACCAAGGTGATGTTTTGAACCAAGACTTGAAGACGGTAGCAGGTGGGCCATGTGGCTACAGCCAGCAGCATGAAGGTGTGTGCTGGGACAAGTGAGGTGAGTGGCAGGGAGGTGGCCAGGGCCTCATCGGCAGGGAAAGGACTTGGGCTTTTCTGCTTGACTGTCCCCTCTTAGAAGAGGAAAGTGGTGGGTCACCCCAATCGTGGCCTGCTCCTTGCCCCCAAGTGATAAGCCCCCGTCTCCACAGGCTCTGTCCTGCGTCCTGGGGCTCGGGGCCCTGCTGGCCCTGCCGGGGGCCCTGGGCTCCGGCAGCAAGACCAAGGACAGCACGAGCTCCAACTCTGTCACCATCATCTTGCTGTTCCTGCTGCTCCTGCTGCTGGCCACTGGCCTGGCACTGGCCTGGCGCCGCCTCAGTCGCGACTCGGGGGGTTACTACCACCCGGTCCGCCTCGGCGCTGCGCTGTGGGGCCGCACACGCCGCCTGCTGTGGGCCAGCCCCCCAGGTCGCTGGCTTAGGGCCCGGGCCGAGCCAGCGTCATCAGACATTGACCTTGAGCAGCAAGACGAGAGGGATGCTGACGACGACTATGTCGTGGATGGCGGCCTAGCGGAGGCTGAACCCCGCGAAGAGCAGCAGCTGTGTGCGGAAGCGGCCAGTCCGGGTCAGGCCCCCGCGCAGGCCCTGGGCCTCAGCATCCAGGGGCCGGCAGGCTCGGGGGGCAGTGCCGAGGCCCTGCTCAGCGACCTGCACGCCTTCGCTGGCAGCGCGGCCTGGGACGACAGCGCGGGGGCAGCCGGGGGCCAGGGCGCCCACGTCACCGCACTCTAGGGTCCAGCCTCAGCTGCCACACCCGTGCTCATAGTGCCTCTGCTTCCCCAGTTGTCTAGCTGGACATGACCTGCACTGGACCCCGTCACCCATACCCCGCAAGGACTGTAACTCCCTGACCAGGTCCCACCCCATTCCCCACCTGCCCATCCATAGGGGTGGAAGGCAGTCTTCTGAATAAAACTACAATCTCCAACCCAAGGTGCTGTGATCCTATGGGAACCTCCCACTCCCGGGCAGGGGCTCCTCCTAGCACGACCCCCCGTGCCCAAAGGACGAGCCACGTCAGTGCCATGATTCACACTTTAATTTCCCAGGGACACAGTTCATGCAGATGGGCGGCTGGGCCCCACCCTGCAGCTGTGGCCTGTGGCCCTCTACGCTCATGATTCAGGGGCCACGGCCACCCCAACAAAGACACACACTCACCCTCACTCACTCCCCTCCACAACACCCACACGGGTCTCAGGAGCTGGTCCAGAGTCCCACAGTCCTCAGAGCCTACAGGAAGGGGCCTCCCCGCACAGCCCTCCTAACGCCCCGGACGCCCACGGCCCCTCTTGGACTTCTTGGTCCCTGAGGGGGGACGGATGGGGAGAGGGGCCGTGCTTGAGGGCTGTGGTGGCGGTGGAGGCAGGAGTGGGGGTAGAGCTGGCTCCAGGGGCTCCGGTGGGCCGGCGCTGGGTCGGAACCCCTCAAAGGGGGAGAACTTCAGGGGGCTGCAGGGAAAACCAAGGTAGAGTCAGAGCCTCCCAGGCCCAGCCAGGCTGCTGGCACAGTGTCAGGGAGGGCAGGCTTCCCCACCTGTCCTGGGTATCAGGGTGCAAGGGCCCCAAACTCCAGGGACTGAGGCTCCCAGGTAAAGATGAGGAAATGAGGCCAGTGTCAGTAGCTGATGCAGAGCCCTAGCTAAGGCGGCCCCCTGCCCCAGCGGCTGGCCCCTCCACACGTGCGTGGTACCTGATGGGGGTCCGGGGGCTGCTGTTGCGACGCCTGGGGGAGCGCAGCTTGGGCTGAAAGGAGAAGCCCTCCTTGATGCTGTCCAGGACGGAGGGTGCCACGTATGTAAAGCCCTGGGGCAGAGGCCGGGCCTGCTCAGTGTCCCCACAAGCCCTGCCTTGTCCCCGCCAGCTTCAGGCCCCAGGACTCACCAGGAAGGCCTGGTTGGCGCTCTCGCTGAGAGCCGAGTCATCGGGACTGTCCACTGGTGTCTGCCGTGTGAAGCGGGTATCAAACTGGCTCACGTCCTCCTCTGACTGCTGCAGGCCGAGCACAGGGGCAGGGGTCAGGGCACCTGGGAAGGAGGGTCCTCAGCCCGCCCCAGGCTCCCTGCTCACCAGGGAGGGCCTGAAGGGGGGGTCCACACGGCGGGCCAGGAGGTCTTCCCAGTTGATATGCCGGTAGAAGGGGTGCCTCTGTGGGTGGGACGGCCCCAGACATCAGCAGGGCAGGCTCCCAGCTCCCTCCCGCTGCCCTCAGCCCCCCCGTGCAGCCCACCACCCTTGGAAGCTCAGCCCTACCCGCTCGTGGTGGTCCCAGGCCTACCTGCACATCAGCGGCGTCCCCTGGGCCGCCCCCAATCCGCTGGCTGGGATTCCGCTTCAGAAACTAGGGGACCAGGCAGAGGGTAAGGGCGGGACGAGGTGGTGTGCTCCCTGGTTCCCAGGGGCTGGCAGAGGGGGACGGGGAGGGCTCCCTCAGGACTGTCCAGTTTGGTCCAACAGCACCCAGAACACTTTACTGGGATGCCAGGGCCACACCTGGATGGAGCCCCTGCTGGGCGAGCCTCCCCGTATACCACCGAGAGCCACCTTTTGGGGGTCTCTTAGGCTAAGAGCGTAGAAGCCTTCTAGTAAGGGCTCTGCTGATTAGGACTCAAGACGAGCGGCCTGCCCAGGGCCAGCAGCCGGTCTGGTAAGAGCTCAGGCACCAGACGCAGTGACCCTTCCACTCCCAAAGGTAGACAGTGACCAGGCGGGGCGGCACTGGCTCCCCTCGAGCCAGAGACTCAGGAAGCCATGCCGAGCGCCCACAGGGCCTGGGGAGAAGCAGCGGGGCTCTGCCAGGGGCAGGAGGCATCCCACCTTCTTGACAAGGTCCCGGGCATCCGGTGTGAGGTAGGGGGGCAGCACCAGCTTCCCCTTGATGATCTTGTCCATGGTTTTCTTCCGGTTCTCCGCAGTGAAGGGTGGCTGGAGGAGGCAGAAGGTGACAGGGGCCTTGTGGGCCTCCCACCAGGCCCTGCTGCTGCCGCTGCTCCTGCCCTGGGATGGGGGGCTCCTCCCACTCCCCGCCACCACAAGGGGGCTGGACTTGCCGATCCAGTGAGCATGTCATACATCAGCGCCCCCAGGCTCCACCAGTCCACCGCCCGGTTGTGGCCGCTGCGCACCAGGATCTCAGGGGCCCTGGGCCGGGTGGAAGCCTCAGTCAGCCCAGGCTCCGCTGGCCGTCCCTCGACCCTGAACCCAGGCAGCTGCTGCTCACATGTACTCGATGGTGCCGCAGAAGGTGTGGGTGATGGCGCCCTCGTGAATCGACTCCTTGCAGAGGCCAAAGTCTGTCAGTTTGATGTGGCCTGAGGAAGAAGACTGACGCAGGGTCAAGGGCAGCCTCCCCCCCATGACCCACGGAGTGCCTCAGCCCTCCCCGAAGCTTCTGGACCCAGCGCACGAAGCCGCGCACGTGCACAGACGCACCCTGGCTGTTGAGCATGATGTTTTCTGGCTTGAGGTCTCGGTAGATGATGCCTTGGGAGTGCAGATGGCCAAGGGCCAGGGTGATCTCTGCCAGGTAGAAGCTGCAGAGGCAAGACGAGGTGAAGGCAAGGATGGGGCACGAGCTGGGCCCTGGGGATCCCGGAGCCCCAGAGAGGAGAGAGAAAGGGGCAGGAAGCACACCCACCAGGCTGTGTCCTCCAGGAAGATGCCCTCTCGCTCCAGGTGTGTGAAGAGCTCGCCACCTGTGACACAAACACCTCAGTGGCTCTGTGCCAGGACCAAGACCCCTTGGCTCTCTCTGAGTCCAGCTTTCTTCTTGGGGAGAGTGGGGCACATAAGGCCTGCCCTACCTGCCTCACAGAGCTGCCGTGGGGATTCAATTCAATTCAGCAAACATCTACCGATGCCTACTCGGTGCCTGGCCCTGTGCTGGGTGACGCTGGGGACAGAGAGACGGAGAGACCCAGCTACTGCCCTCAGGACACTCAGCCCGACGTGCACAGACTGCTTGGAGAAGCCAGACCGAGACAACAGCCCTGAGAGCTTACCCCAAAAATCTCAGGCAGAAGACAAGGGGGACAAAGTTAATCCCAACACAAGGGACGAAAGTCTCGTGCAGATAGAGGGGATGCTGAGATGGCAGGGGGTATGCAGCGTGTGGAGAAGAACCACATGGGGTCACGTGGGAGATGGGACAGGTGGGAAAAGCAGCCCTGGACTGTTCTGTGGAGCCAGGCAGGCCAGGCTCTATCTGGGTATTCATTCAGAGTGAGCCACAGAGTCTGAGCAGGAGTGGTCGGGGTAAACCGTGCTCTAGGAAGACCCTGGCAGTTGGTGAAGGGGACATGAGGAAAGAGTGAAATGCAGGCTCGTGCCTGGTTATGAAGCAACTTGCACCTTCCCCCTCTGCCTACGAGAGTGCAAAGAATGGACTGGATTGGGACCCGGCTGGACGCAGGGCACACAGGGCAGGGAAGCAGGACGTGGAGGGACAGGAGAAATGGACAGAACAGGCCACAGGCACCTCTACACACACCCCACCACTCCCCAGAGCCAACCACCCCCACAGCTGAAGGACACAAGAGGCACTGGACAGACGTTTGCTGAATGAATAAAGAGAAGGACGGATGGATGCGTGGACCCATGGTTAGGCGTGGGCCCCTAACCACCCTACAGCCACACCTCCTGAGGGCTTTCCCCGCTCCCTGCCCACACCCCTGGCCGGGCCTCCACTCCTACCACTGAGGCACTCAAGGATGAGGTAGAGCTTGCCACCAGTCTGGAAGGCATAGGCCAGTTCCACAATGAAGGGGTGCTTCACAGACTCGAGAATGTTCCGCTCGGCCCGTGTGTGCGCCGTGTCCTTGGCGTTGCGCACAATTTTGGCCTGGAGAGGTGGCGACCAGTGAGAAGGGGGTCAGGCCCTCCAGCACCACCCTCCGCAGTTCCCTGTCTCTGCTCTATTCAGCAAGCAACCTTTTCTGGTCGGGTTCACCCTCCACCGCAGGGTCCCTCACCCTCGGCCCTGCTGACACGTGGGGCCAGACAATGCTCCCCGGTAGGGCTGTCCTGTGCATTGTAGGAGGTTAGGCAGCACCTTTGGTCTCTATCCACTAGATGCCACTAACATGCCCCAGTCATGACAATCAAAGATGTCACAGATGTTGCCAAATGGCCCCTGAGGTGCAAAATCACCCCCCGTTGAGAATTATCGCATAGCTATCCCCATGCCCGTAGACATGAGCCAATCGACGCCAAAAACAGGGGCCATGAAACAGAGCCCGGCTCCATGGCGCCCGATGCTGTTCCAGGAGCCAGGCTCGTGTGCAAACACCTGGTTAAGTACAGGTGGCTGAACCAACGACTCACCTTCCTTAGGACTTTCATGGCATATATTCTGCCCAAGTTGGTGCCCTGCACCTTTCGCACCTGGAACACCTGTAGGGCAGGGGAGACCGGATCGACTGCCCACTCCACCTCTGTTTTCATGACACCCCACCCTGAAACTGCAGCAGTAGGACCAAGAGGGCTGCCGGGACCCACCCAAGGGTGGGGCCGCATGAGTCCCTGTCAGAGCCTGAGAGGACAAGCCTTCCCTCCTCTGTGTGTAACTCTGACTCCATCCCAAGGCTCTCCCTAATTCCTAAGTCGTCTCACGAACCCTCTGCCCGGTGCACCCCGGGGCTGGGAGGCGGGTGGGAAGGAGGGGTGCCCGTACCTTGCCGTAGCCCCCTTTGCCCAGCACCCGCAGCAGCTCAAAGCACTGGGGCCCGATGCGCTCTGGGCCGAGGTTGACGCTGCTCTCGGTCAGCTCCACCTCCTCATAGTGTCCCACGGGCCTGTGGACATGGCGGCGGATGGCGGCAGGGCTCCAGGACTCCCCGGGTCCCCTCTCCACTCCACCGCCCTCCCCCAACGCGACCCTCACTCACTCCAGGCCAGCCGACCTCAACTCGGCCAGGGGACACACGTCCTGTGAGAAACCGAGGGGTCAGCGCCAAGGGAAGGGCCAGGAAGCCGCTCCCCGCCCCCAGCTGCACCGCTGGGTTCGGGAGAGGGGGTGTCGGGGAGGGGAGCTGGCGGGACAGGGGGCAGGGAGTGACAAGGAGAGGCACGGGTCAGAGAGGTGAGGGCGGCTCACGGTGGGCTGGCACAAGGGCAGCAGCCTGCGAAGGACCGGAGTCTACAGAGGTCGGGGCCCACTCCGGGTCCGGGGCGCCGGGGCACACCGGCTGCGGTCGCAATCGAGCTGCGCGGGGTGGGGAACTTACCGCGGGGCTGAGCTCCGGCTCGCCCTCGCCCTCGCTGCCCTCCTCCGTTTCCAGATCCAGGTCGAAAACTGCCGCCATGGCGGCCCCGGCCCCGCGGGCCCCACGGCTGGTACCAGGCCGCTCTCTGACTGACAGTCGCGGTGGTGGTGAGGGCGTGACTACACGTCACCATTCCACGACGGTGGCCGCGCGCGTCGATGACGCACGCGTGGCGTCACCCTCCCACCAACAGACTGCTCAGTCAGGCGGCGAGAAAAGATGGGTCTGTCGCAAAGTCTTTCGGGAGTTGTAGTTGCGGACCGCCGCGGAGTCCAGTCTCCAGACTGTGGAAACCTCGTCCGCCGGGCACTCGTTCACGACAGCTTCTCCGAGGTCGGATAGGAGCGGACTGGAAGGCGCTTACCTTGGCTCTGGAGAGAATTCGTGTCTGGATGGGGCGGGGACGGAAGTGCATGCGTGTGCAAGTATATATTCAGTCTCCAGCCCTCTTAGAGCCGCGCTCGGCCCGACTGGCTGGGTAGCATCCCCTCTGGGTTCGCCCCTGAAAGGGTGGCGGCTGCATCAGCGTCTCCCTAACGTGCCTCCCGGCGCGCGCGAGGACTCCGCGTGCAGTGACTGCCAGGCTCGGTTGCCAGGTTCCTGCCGAATCCCGGCTTGGGTCTCGTTGGATCCACCCGGAGAGATGAGGGCTTGTGCTGACGTGAGTTCCCTTGTCAATTTAAGCATATTTAGTAAATCGGCCGCCTGGCACTTAATAAAAAATCCAAACCCGTTTCGTGGAGTGAATTTCAGTCCTGGAGACAGAAGCAAATTACCAGGACTTTCTTCTGCAGCTCCACTGGATGCGTGCAAACCACCAACTGTTTGCACCACCCAGGGACCTGGGACCAATAAGAACCAAACCTGTTGCCATTGAGTGTATTCGCGATTCACAGTGACCCCCTAAGACAGCGTAGACTACCCATAGGGTTTCCACAAATAAATACAGGAGCAGACTGCTATATTTCTTTTCCCACAGAGCAGCTGATGGGTTTGAACCACCAACTTTTTGGTTAATGGCTTTAACACGCATCACCAGGGCTCTTTGGCACACAATGGTGTTGTTAAGTTCTGTGAAGTTGGTTCCAACTCATAGTGACCCCATGGAAAACAACAAAACACTGCCCATCCTACGCTATCCTCATAGTCATTGCTGTACTTGAGTCCATGGTTGCAGCCACTGTGTCCACCCATCTCGTTGATGACCTTCCTCTTTTTTCTGACCCTTTACTAAGCATGATGTCCTTCTCCAGAGACTGGTCCCTCCTGATGACGTTGTCTGCCGTGAGATGACGTCTCACCATCTTGATGTCTAAGGAGCATTCTGTCTGCCCTTCTTCTAAGACAAGATACACAATAAACTCCCTGCCGTTGGGTCGGATCCGACTCATAGCGACCCCTCCTTGGGTTTCCGAGGCAGTATCCCTACGGAAGTAGATTGCCCCACCTTCCTTCCGATGAGTGGCTGGTGGGTTTGAACATACAACAGGAGCCTAATAAAACTTTGTTGAAAGAAGGAATGTGTGAACACACCAACCCTGATCTGTGACTTTTGATTTGGGAATGGATTTATTTGACTGCTAACTCTGAGGAAAGAAGACTGGGCAATCTACTTCTGTAAAGATTTACCGCCTCAGAAACCCAAAAGGGGTTGCTACGAGTCGGAATCAACTCGATGGCAGTGCGTTTGGTTTTTCTGGTTTGGTTTCTGGTTGGATGGGGCTCTCAGGGCGTGAATTTGAGCCAGACCAGGCTTAGAGCGTTGAGTTGATTGCTGGCATCTGGCTAAATGTGCATTTATGGATGTGGGAGGCTGGGTGTGAATGGGCGGAGTTCAGGGTTCTCCAGGCTTACAGGTCATCTGGTTGGGTGTGACCCTCAGGTATTAAGTCCTGGTGCAGGGTAGGGCCACACCTGCTGAGGGTCAGGCCAGAGGCCTGGCTGGTGGGGTGACCTCTCCTTGGCTCCAGATGCTATAGGTGGCTCCTGCCCACATCCCCACACACCTACCAGTCAAAAGAATCTATCCCAGACTCCGGACACGACACTAGTCCACAGGCCTTTATTTGGGGGTAGGATGGAATATCTAGGGAGCTGTCCCCAGCTCCTGTGCTGTATGAAGACAAGAGTTCTTAACATCAGCCTCCCTGACTCTGCTGCCAGCTGCTGCCTCTCCTGTGCTAGTTAGGTGTGTCAGACAGAGGCCAAAGCACCGAAGCTTGGTGGGGCACGTGCACGGGAGGGGTGTTCACATGTCTCAGGGTCACATGCGAACGAGGGTGGGGAGGAGAGGAGGCCTAGAAGCTGAGTGAGCAGGTTAAGACTTAAAGCAGAAACCTGGACCTTGCATTGTGTCCCTCTACCCTCCACCCATTGTGGTGTGACTTTGGGGCCGTCATCTTCCCTCTCTGTAAGACGGGGCAACAGGATCTGCATGAGGTGCGTGGCCAGAGGATTACTGCTGACCTGGACCACCTGATTCCACTGCTCAGGACAGACAGGTGGGGCACTGCCCAAAGGCATTGCCAGTAGGTTCTAGACCTATCCTGGAATTTGTTCAATGAGAGGATGGGGGAAAGAGGGCAGGGGGTTTAGTTAAAGGTTTGCTTGGGATTTGTCCAAAGCCAGGGACTCAGCCAGGCAGATGGCAGGAACAGAGAGAGGCTTGGAGGGGTTGGGGTCCACTCCCACCTCCCAGGGCTTAGAAGGTGCAGCTGTTGTTATTTCTCCAAGGCCTGGGGCTGCTGTGGGCTGGACTGGAGCCTCTGGGAGGGCAAGAGTGCCCTGTGGCCTTCTCATCCCAGATCCTTCCTTGTAGGGGTCCAGGAGGCCTTGGTGTTGAAGTAGCCCTGCTGACCTGGACCCGACCTGAGGCCTTGGAGTGGGCCGGGCCAGGCCAGTCAGGGCAATGGGAAGAGAGGCAGGGAGAGCCCCGGGAGCAGAGGGCAGCACAGCCCCCTCCCCTCAAGCACTCTGCCCCCTGCCCCCTGGCCCCAGCGCTATTTGAAGTGAGACAGGAAGTGGGCAACAGGGTAGTGGGGCCCATCGATGCCCAAGCCCTGGCAGAGGCCCAGCAGGCGGAGGCGGGCCTCGGCGGGGCTGGACCCGGCACAAGCCACACTGCAATAAGGCTCCTCGTATTCGCCGGGCACCAGGGCCTCCTCCAGCACGTTGAGGCGCAGCACGCCCCGGTCATGCAGGGCCTGCAGGGCCTCGCGGCTGGCGGTGGAGCTGAGCGCCTGCAGGTGCTGGGACACGAGGCACATGACCCCCACCAGGTGGCCGCGGGCGCGCGGGTGGGCGGGCAGGGCGGGCCGCAAGCCGCAGGCCACCATGGCGGCGGCCAGCAGCAGGTCCACGCCATACAGCTCCAGGATCCAGTCCCGCAGGTAGAAACCTCCCATGCGGGGGTTGATCTCGATGAGGCGCGGCCCGGCCCCCGTCAGCTTGAGCTCGACGTTGAAGACCCCATCCAGCAGCCCGCAGCCCAGGCAGCAGCGGAAGGCCGCCTGCACCAGCTGTGCCTCCTGCTCGGGCGCCAGCCCGGTGGGCATGCAGGCTGCCGTCTCGGTGAAGCCAGGCAGCCGCGTGGGGCCGTTGTCGGAGACAAAAGCGGCCAGCAGCCGCCCGCCAAAGAGCACCAAGTCCACGTCATGTTCGGTGCCCTCCACGAACTCCATCAAGAGCATGGCATTGCCCCAGCCCAGCCCGATGCCTGGGTGGTCGGCCTCGCCCTGCAAGTCACGGGCGATCCGGGCAAAGTGCTCGTGGCACTGTGGCGCGTCCTCCACGAGCCGCACGCCCACCGCGCCTGCCCCAAACTCCAGCTTCATGACGCCGGGCAGGGGCACCTGGTGGACAGCCCGCTCCACGTCTGCCTCGCTCCCCAGTGGGCAGCAAGGGACAGCATGCAGGGAGGGTGCCGGCCAGGGTGGGCCCTGGCGGCGCAGCAGGTGCAGCTGCGTGCAGCTTTTCTGCTTGGCCAGGCGCATGGCGGCCGGTGGGCTGCAGGGCAGCCCCAGCTCCTGGCACAGCAGGGCGGTCAGCACCAGGCAGTCGTCCCAGTAGGAGAAGCAGCCGTCAAGTTGCAGGCCACGCGCCCGCACCAGCTCCGCCAGGAGCTGTGCGTTCTCCTCATCCCTGCGGTGCTCCGTCACATCGAAGTGGATGAAGGTGTGCACCAGCTGGGAGGCGAAGTGGTTGGGGTCTGACTCTACCAGGTGCAGCTGCGGAAAGCAGGGGGCGGGGGGAGTCAGGGGCACACCCAGATCCGCCTGTGCTGGGCTTGGACTGCTGGGAGAGGAGGGGCCTAGGACATTGCCTGGGACCTGCCCTGCCTTGTTCTCCAAGGCATCCCTAGTGCCTAGCCCACTGCCTGGTACATAATGGGTGTCCACTAAACCTCAGTTACTGAGAGAATGAATGGACAAGGGGAGGTGGGACTGCTAACCCAGGCTGGAGGGGAGGGCAGGCACCCCAGGGGAAGCAAGGCTTAAGCCGGGAGCTGAAGAATCAGAATCAATCAGAGTGGGGCTCCAATCCCTGCAGCTGAGGAGCAGAGAGACCTTCCAGGAAGAACACAAGGCCCATGTCAGGGAGCAGAAAGGCATGGGAAGGGCTGGAGGATAGAGTTTCCTCAGAGGGTGTTGTACTGTGGGAGGGGAGAGGCGGCCACTGTGGGAGATCAGGACCAGCTTGAGAAGTCTAGACGTTTGACCTCAGTGTTGCCATCTGTTCAATGGGGACAGAATGTCTGCCCCCACTGCATTCTAAAGACGCTGCCATGTGAGGTCACTGCTGTCAAATGGATTCAGGATCTGCAAGCTGCTGCGCAGCACCCTCCTTGTGTTCTGATATGCCAAGTCGCAGGAATTCAACCTCAAAGGTCAGGCCCTTGGCTCCACGATGGAGCCAGGCCCCGCTCTAGGGCTAGCTAACGCTGTGTGCTTTCAGCCCCCTCCCAGTCTCCTTGCCTCCTCTGGGGAAGTCTCTCACATCTCCTGAGGACATTCACTGGAGGGGTCGGGTTGAGTTTAGTCCCCCAACTCCTTCAGGGCAACAGACCCAGATTCAACCCCAAGGTTGGTTTCGTCTTTACAGGGTAATCCCGCGCAGGCCCCGCCCCACCAGCGCAGGCCTCGCCCTGAGGGCCCCGCCCACCTTGAGCCCGTAATCGCGCGCCGCGTCCCACACGAACTTCTTGCTGACGCCGCCCGCGCCGACCAGCAGCAGCTGCTTGCCCTCCATGAGGCTGCGCGCCGAGCGCCGGAGCATGGTCTCCACGAGCGGCGCCGCCGCCGCCGGCTCGGCCGCCCGCACCA